ACATACTCTACTATTTCCTAGTGACTGGGACAACCCGACCTTGAAGCAAGTGCACGACGGAAACTCATCCTATGCTGCTGAGGAGAATGTCGTCACCATCGGTGTAAGTTTTTAATTCCAAGCTAGATCTAGTTGATATGTTCTCACTTTTCCTCTTTTATAGAACGGCTTCGCTGCCAATGACTGGGTTGTGTTGGTGATCGATTCGGCGGACAGTCTGATCAGCCTCAACCACCCCATCCACCTCCACGGCCACGACTTCTTCATCCTGGCGCAGGAAAACAATGCCGCCTTCGATGGCACCACCGACAGCTTCAACCTCGACAACCCAGAGCGCCGCGACGTCGCCGTGCTGCCCCAGCTCGGCTACCTCGCCATCGCCTTCCAGCTCGACAACCCCGGAGCCTGGATTGTCCACTGCCACATCGCCTGGCACGCCAGCGAAGGTCTCGCCATGCAGTTCGTCGAGTCTACCGATAGCATCCTGACCAGCGGCGCCATCGGCAACTGGGACACGGCTGCCGACAACGGTGCCGAGACCTGCGCCAACTGGAACAGCTATATTCCCGTCGAGACCTGGGAGCAAGACGACTCGGGTATCTAAAGTCGGATCACCCCAATACACCCTGGGAAACCAGATGATTAATAATCATCCACTACTTGATATAATAGCTATTACGCGACCATGTTTAAGTTTTTTTGGTTAATGAGCGTATTCCTTTCGATATTTTACCGGGTATTTTCCCCACCCATCCTCGTTCGATCGGCCTTGTCAGCCACAAGCCACAAGGGCCGTTCGCCTTTTTCACCACTTGAACCTTTTGAGGGGTAACCCTTTCGTCACGGGGCATTCTTAATTTACGCAATTTCAATTATGCTTGGTGGATTTACTTTGTGGGAAGTGGAGATATTATTTGGAGCTGACGGGGAGAGAGCATCGAAGACAAAGCTGACGCTGTATTCCGAGGGTTCTAGTCTGCCCAGCCCCCTCCCTGCATTGCATGTAGTCGACTGAGTGTATCTTCTTCTCCTTTACTTCGCTGTAATTAGTTTATTCGTACATAAACTTACTCTATTATCACGCATATATATATATATTCCTTACCTTCCAATTTATGACGGAATCAAGCTGTTTAACTATGAAACCAAGTCCCAATACTGCGTTCATAATATAACTGGCAAAAGAGTGCGATTAACTGTAACCAGAACTTGCTCCTCCAATGCCACGATTGTGCTATCCTACAACAACTATAAGGCTAAGGTGTTCTCAAGGAAAAGATTCGAATCCCGTTTAATCCTTTGAGTTAGGACAGTACTGCCATCAAAGTTGGACCTTACCAGCTACTACAAATGCTTCGGGTAGGTAGCTGGTTCGTCCATTCTATCCTAACATAACTTATTCAATCACAAGATTAATTTATAGTTTATTGTAACGTTCTTCTCTTGTAACACCCAATTGGCCCGGTGGTAGTGCTTAAGGAAAACAGCGAAGAGGCCTGATTAAAATAGCTTGCAATGGAGGATAACAGATCCCATGGCATCGTTACTAGATGAATCAGAAATAACACTGCTAGGAGACATAGCGCTTAATGATGAAGTTGAGTGTAAGGCAAATAATGTGGGAGTGATGGTGGTGACTACCGATGATGTCGAGTTAATCGAAGTAGTTTCAACAAGCAAGGACAAGGAGGGAGTTATTGTTGAAGAACTGTTAAAATGATAGCTCGACGAAGGTGAAACTGAGGTAGAGCTGACATCAGAAACTACTGCGCTCGATGATGGTGTCAATACTGAGGATGGTGTATTTTGGACCGTATCGGTGGTCGAAAATGCCAGTTCAGTTGATGAGATATCCGAAGCAGATGAAGAAGAAGATGAAGCAGATGATGCCATAGATAATGTGATGGTGGAGGTGTAGGTAGTTGTGTATTCGGAGGTAATTGTCTCTGTGGAGTATTCTGTGGTGGATGTCGTGACGGTTCCCACACAGAGGTTGGTGGAATACAGGGCAGCAGCCTGAACGCCGGATGCAGATACCGTCGTCTTGGAGCCCCATAAGTATTCGCAAGACGTGGAGGCACGGTAGTAAATAAACGCATCACATATGACGTTAAAAATACTACAATAGAAGTAACACTCATAGATGTTCGGCATACGACTGTAAAGTGCTAGAGCGGCTCTTGTTGTGGCCGCTGAGATGGATATATCCGAACACATTTCTTGCCAGTAGCCACTACCCAAGGACCATGCCGTGTTGACGCAGCTGGAGCTACTCGCTGGTGTAGCAGCCTCGACGGCGCAGGTCGTGGTGGTAACAACCATAGGATATATGCTACTGCTCGTGCTAGTGACAATGCTGGAATAACTAGAGGTGACCGTCACCACCGAGATCCCAGCAGCGGTCGCGCCAGGGACGACCTCCACGGCCATCGTTTCCAGGGGCATTAATGCCACCACCAAGAGACTAACACCTACGGTTAACACCAATCCATTGCGAAGGGAAAGTCGTATCAATCCAAGCAGTTGTGCAACAATAAAATAAAGCGAACGACCAAGGTCGATTGGCACCAGGAGGTTACAAAACCGACAAAGAGCGATAATGTGGTAATGCACGACTGCCTAGGAGATTCAGAGAACAATCCCGCTGAGCTGCCAGTGTTTTAATACACATGATTTGGTGATCCCTGTTAAACCGCATTCAAAATGACTCTCATCTAAATGCTCACGATACTAGTGTGACCAAGGCCGTTATGTCTAGTGCTAGTCCACCTAGTAGTTTTGCTCTAAGACGGCATCTTACGCGGCCTTACACTGTTGCAAGCGTCATTAGTTGAGAGCTAGAAGCCGTTGGCCGAGCTCCGCGCCTCTTACTTCCGACTGATCTCGACCGTTAAACCTCTCGAAAGATGCTATGTGTGACACCCGTGCTGTCGAAGGCTTATAGCTGGTTGGCGCATTGGAATTCATGATGGTGACTTATATTTGCGCTATCTTAAAACCGTGTAAGGAGATAAATATAGGTGTATGAGGGGTAGTTGATAGATGGACGAGATGGATTTTACATAGTTTATATATACTACGTTGTCATCGCTTGGTATGGGTCGGTTCTAAGCTGAAGATCTAGCCTGAGATCTCCGGGGGATTTTGATTTCTGCGGGTATGGGGCAGCGCCGAACGCCGGAGCTAATTCAAGCGAGCTCTGAACTGGAGATGAAGATTTACAGCTGAAAATGAGCCAGACAAAGGCTTTGTCACTGTGATTTTAGGCTAGTATATATTGAGGCATCCACCACCCCCTTACAAGCGACTTCGTACCGTGCTCTCGCGTCTCCGCTGATTAAAGGCGCTGACCCAACAGAAACAAGGCACCAGGCCCTGCCAAACGTTTCCCATCCACTCTATTTGCCGGATCATATTTTGTCCAATGATAATGGAAACTCCGGAAGCTGGCTAGTTTTTGAGGTACGGAGGTTTGAAGACCTTGATGGCGATCCCATGCGTCGCCCAGGGGATATCAGAAATATATGCAGCTGCGGCCATGGATCAGTAATGCTTGTGACAGTTGATTCTAGTTGTGATGTTTCCGCTTGCCAAGCTCAATAATGACCACATAAATTGGGCGCTGCATAATTGGACCGGGGTTTTGTCAAGGCAGACATCGTCGCTCAAATATTTCCGTCAGGTTTTATTATTTTAAATTAGCCCTACTACCGCCTGTGCCAATGGTTCAGTGAACAGCCGCCCTCGTGTAAGAAGGAGAAACCAAAATCTGAAATCCCGGTCATGGATCAGGCGATCTTGTATTGTGTTTCCGGCCTATGAGGTACATGACCCTGTTCAGCTATCCCAGCCCGTCCCGACTTACCGAGATGCAGCGCCCCCCATGTGAAAGGGGGGCTTGATTGGCCAGTGACAAAATCTGATTGACCTCTGCCAGAATCGGACATTTAATCAGATTGTTCGAGGCCCCCATGCTTGGTTCGCAGCCCCTTCAGCCTTGGCTCCCTTAATTAGTTGCTCACACTGGGATGCTTGCTTTGTACTGGTCACTAAAATCCGATTCTGCCCGCCACAGATATCGTGAGAATATCAGATTTCGAGATTCTGAATTGCCTCGCCTTTTTGTAGTTTTCCATTGACATTTTGTCGACAGCAAGTCTGTAGATATGAATAATAGGCATCAAATGGATGGAAGAAGTCGTCTATATAAAGGTGTTTCATTGAGCGGGTGGTTCCAACATTTTCTCGTTATCACAGTCTTGACCAGAATCCCCTGCAGCAATTTTTATTCATAGCAACTCGCCATTAGTGTGAAGCAAGCATATTCTTCACATCAAATATGACTCCCCAGCAGGTAGGTGATCAACTATGATGCTCGAAACTTGTGCTTACAAAGTTATGCATTCCATTTCTAGACGACAAACCAATACCAGTATATTGCTGGTGCGCAGCTTTTGTCTCCCCAAGCACATGACAACTCCGCTGCGCGAGAGCAAGGGCAGCAGTGGATCTCAATGGCTCGTCCGTGGGGACTCGACAGGGGCTCCGGTGGTCCCGGTGACTATCGATTCAATACTGCTGTGGGTGGAGAGACTTCGCAGGACCCCATGGCAAGATGGCTCTCGCAGAGTCTTACGAAGGATGCATATCATGCCATCGGCGCAGTGAAGGAAGAGAAGAAACGACGAAGTTGAGATGCTGGAGAAAAAGCATTTTCTATCACGTCGGTGGAAAGATTTATGTGGTTGAAATGTTGTATCTTGTTTTGAATATATTGCACTTCTTGGATCACGCTACGTTATACAAGCCCACGATAACCCAAGCTTACCCGGTCTATTAAACTGCTATTTCCACGTTCTCTTCGGGAAGATTGGAGAAAAAAAAAAGGATTTTGTTTTTAAATTGCCGCAAATGCAATTTCTGTGCTAGATAAGCGCTCTTGCAAGGAACGAGAACCAAAAAGCTATCAGCTAGTCCGGCAAAAGATAAAACTTGGTTGATGACCACAAAGCGATTTGAACGCTTAACCTTCAGGAAGCTCCTGCTGTAGTCCGAGGACCACACTGGAATCTGACGCGCTACCGTTGCGCCATGCGGCCGATTGGATGTGATGCCGAAGACCCACTATCGCCACTTATTAGACTTCGCGTGCATGGTGTTCATAGTTCCGGAAATGTCAACGTCACAAGATTTCGGGCGCCTTTGATGCAGCCGGTAATGACGCGCTATCGGACGCAGAAGGTGTAATGGTTTGCAATGGACAACATCCAGCGATGAATTCATCCCAGGGATTCAGTCGTCTTCAATTCCGGGATCGGGAATCCAGTGGCATTTGTGATGTGAGCCTAGCTGGCTAGCAGACATACAATCTATTAGTGCCACTACATGCTTAAAAATGCCGTAAAAAAACGAGGCGATATCCATTCCAGCTGTTCTTGTCTTCCAGGTCAGTCGTGCGATATCACTTCGGTCGTGTCGACCTTAGTGAAGTCAAAACAATTCTAGCACAGGACCCCCGAGTACGGACTCACCGAAGTACGCAAGGTTGATGTTGATCAGGTTTCTGTATCTATAGCCAAGTCAACAGACAAGGATCTTGTTTGACAATCAGAGTGGAAGATGTATCAATAGGCGAAGACCCAAAAATCCTTCAAGATCCTCCTGGAACCACCACCCCGGTCAACATACATACTAGTACGAGGGCAGCCGCTGTATGGCTATGGTTTTCTTAAAGCTACCAACCCCTATTGGATAATGGCCCAACTGATCAGTAGAAACTACTCCACTGGAGTAGGTCCATACACGTAGTGTGTCGTAAGGAGTGGAAGGTTACACTACCTTCGCATCCACTCACCCTCGGCTTTTACAGGCAGTGGGCCACGTGGGGTGAAAATACTATTGCTGGAGGATGAGCTCAACAGATATCTAATTTGTGCGGTAGGTCCATAACTTGAAGTGTTAAAAACAACCATTCAAGGCTTTGGTATGTCACTTTATCGTCTCTATGTGTCCCGCACGATTTGCCCTTTCCCACGTTATTGGAGCCAGTTTCTCCAGCTTCGAAGATGCTGAAAATGCACTTTTAGATGCCTGCCAAGTTGGTGGTTTCGCAGCGCGACGTGAACGCTCACAAGGGCGCAAAGATCCGAGGACGGGGTTCTATCCACGGTGCAGCTATACCTGTTACCACGGCGGGGATCGGCGAGCATCCAACAGCCGCCGAAGTGATGCACCCGTCAGGAGGGTGGCCAGGACTTCATGGACCTCTTGCCGCCGGAACGCTGTAATCAAACAAGATGGAGATATGTGGGCGGTCAGATGCATAACTAATGCCGACCACACCGCGCGTGACTATCACAACCACCCCTCCTCAGCGCTGAGGAAGCCATGTGGCTTCCGCCCAATCGCTGCCGTCAACTCAAAGGGATAAATTCTGAGATCCCAAGGCTGGCAGAAGATTCGCGCTTGTCGGCAGCCGAAATACTCAGCGTCCTTCAAGAAAATTACCCCCAGCTTAGGGTCAAGCCCACAGATATAACCACAACACTCGCAAAAGCACGAAATGCCAAGAGATGTCCAGAACAGCCGCCCGCTAAATAGAACTTGGCAATGCTTGCGTTCGAGATCCGGCAAGTGCGTTTACTGATTTTATGGTCCTGTGAAGTCTGAACCGCCATTGCCGATAACCCATCCATCGAGTAGTACGTCGAAAGTTCGTGAAAGGGTAATACAACGGGCCCCGAGGGTATAAGAAATACGATGGCGCCGCTCCATCTACGTGTCAAGGCATCGTTAAATGGATCTTCAGTAATGCCTAGATATGATGAGCTTATTGCGGGCACATGAGCGGGCATAAAAATCTGCTTGCCAGTACGTATTGGCATTATTAATTTATCCTATCAGCTAACTTTATCTCAGGACTTGACCAAAGAAATGATCGGACTATCCTTATTTAAACAGCCCAAGATATGTATTATAACACGAGGTGAAACGCTTTGACGGATAAGAAAGGAAGGATCGAATAAGCAAATCGGAATTCCGGCAAATGCATCCCAAGGGCTGCAGCTAATAAGGAGGGGTTCCTAGGTTTTGGGGATACGGCCAGGATTCTGGGCATCGCAGCTGGTCATCCCCTCTCTCTTCCTGCTCCTCCCACCGCTTGCTTTTTATGTCTCGTCTGGGGTAGCACCCCGTTGATCAGAGACTAGAGCACTTCGTATGAACTATTGATACAGAATGCCTGCCCATTTCTCGACTACAAGTAACGCTTCCGTGTTCTGCTTGTCAACATGAGCCGGTATTCTCGATTCGCCGGTGCGACACTGGTTGAGGGTGAGTGGTTTTGCAGATGTAATCTCCAGGCAAGGTGGCACATCTCTGGCACACAGAACTCAGCCGGGATACAGTGTAAGCCAAACGTAGTAAACCAGCCAGATGATTAGCTCATTGGTACTGACATGGCTTGGGTTCCGCGCTCGGTCAGTCTTCCGATGCCCAAAAGCGTGGGAGGCAGATCAATGCGATTTCTTCCTCTGGGAGGATAACGTGGAACAGGCTATTGCGGAGCTTGGACGCAAAACGAACGATGGCATTGTGAAAGTATCAGATTCGCCGCGCGCGCTGCTTCCGCGGACTCCGACCAAGCCAAGGATAGTCACGGGGTTGCCTACACCGGACTCTCGCAACCAGGGCAGAGCAGCAGTCTGGGACCCTCAACCTCCCTTGTCACCAACTCCATCACCTACCCTGCATCGCCATCGGAACGCTACAGTTGACCAACTCAACAGTTCCAGGAGGGGTAATGAAGTGGGTGAAGAGGACGAGGATGACGGCGAGGAAGACGCGGACAGAGAAAAAGGTAACAGCCTGGTCATGCGTGCTTTAGGGATTCTGAAATCCGCCAATGTCCAGCTCAAGTCTTCAGTAGAGCTGGAACTGCGCCACATCATCAACATGGAGCGGGCATTACTTGAGGCGAGAATCAAGACCAATGAAGCTATGGTGGCAGAACAGAGCCGCCAGCTTCGACGAAGGGGCTTCTGATCGTATACCAACCGACGGGATTGTGTTCCGTGATGTCCTTTCTTCCCAGTTGTTAACCACGTTTTATCTCATCCTCGCGCAATTTCAATTTACTCATGCTGAAACTACAAAAACATTACCATCCATCCGAGGAGATGATACATACCTCCGACTGTGTCCTACAAAATATTTATTTCCGGAATCGGAGGCATCTGCCAGCCCTTACTCTCTATGCTTCATGTGCTTCTGTTGCTTCGAACGCTAAGGAAGGTGAGAATCAGCAGAGCTTTGTATGGACGGCCTCATGCATTGCTTTCTTATAAGACGAGAAATGGATTTCTTCTACAGAGTAACGATTTTGTGGTGTATTAAGTCAGTTATTCCTTGTTAGTACTCCTGTTCAGTTGAGACTTCGTAGGTGCTAGATTGAGGTTCATTACCATTGATCATAATTCATGATTGTATGATTCATACCTACAGGTAAACTATAGACTCATCTGGGTTTGGCCAAAAAACTGACAGGTATTGCCCTCATACCATCCTCATTCAATGTCTCGCTGGACGGCTCTGCTCGCAACTCCTCTTCTCTCTCGCTGGCTTCTTGCGCCCACAAACTGTTACGATTGTTGGTCGTGATCGTTATGTCTGTGCTCACTGATATGCCATTGCTTTTTGGATCATGTCCTACGTGGTTGTTGTCCGCAGCACCGGAAGCTTGATCCAGTCCACGCAGGAAGCTCCCCAAGCCAATAGACCCGTTTGGTGTCCCGTCATATCCTCTGGCTCTATCCAAAGCGCCTATCGTGGGTGGAAAGTTATCATTTGAGTTGGGTGGTACTGTTGAGCCCCAGAAGCCAAAAGTTCGAGTAAACAGCGGTCGCAACGTTGCTAAATTTCCTGCTGCAATGGCAAGTCCCTGCTCACACGATGACAGTATCGCGATTGGAAGAGCATTGTATGTCAAATCGCCTGAATCTAGTGCAGTTAGGAAGGCGAAGCGAGCCATGACTGCAATGCTTGCTCTTCACAGCTATGTTAGCTCAATTATGGGGTAGGCCACACTAACTAGAAGGAGGTTACCTACATCCATCCCAAGCCAAGAATGGGGATCAGTCCCCACCGGGTACGGCGATCCATTTGCAGGCCACGCATTAGGAAGATGGGAAATATCGCATAAGTGGCATCCGAGAATAGGGAAGATGCACTGTAGAGGTACATGAGAGCCACGATGATCTTGGTGTCCATGCACCACCCATTTTGGTCTTTATCCCAAAAGTATGAAGCCGGCGTGCATTCCCCGATTGCGACACCGAGGAAGATGACACCAAAGGCCACCTAGACGGCGGTAAGCGAACTTCATGGCTTGAAGAAAGAGCGAAAGTAGCGGCGGCTTGGTGCTCGGGGAGATGGACAAAAGAGGCCCCGCTGGCTGGGGAAAAGCTTTGGTAGCCAGATTACTCACAGTCGAAATCATTATCAGATATATGATCCACAAATGTATGCGTTTTATCGTAAGCCGTAGAAAGAATATACCGATTGATAGCCGAGAGAAAATCATCGTCATGTCGTACCATATATAACATAACCACCAGTGCTCCAGAGCAATGGATCGATCATAATCCGAAAGGGAAGCTTGACGCTGTCCGCTACCATGCGCCACACTAATCAGGCCGCTGATCACGTAAAGGGTGTAGAAGCACTACCGTCATCAGTCTCATTAATCTGTGTCCTTTTTTCTCTCGGTTTAGCGAAAGCTTCCCTTACCATCGCTACCAGCATGAGCCAGTCATCCGCCCCCATGGCCCGCACAATCATAACTCGGGTGCCGCATCGAAGCAGGATCGTCAAGGTAGCGAGCGAAAAGAAAAATATATCAATCACCCGCAGAGCCGGTGCCCTGTCTGCCTCTGCCATCGTCCGCTCCAAGTCGATCGTGCCTAGTCGAAGCTAATACCGGACGTCGTTTTCCATCACTGGTCAGATGCAAGTACAACACCGGTGGCGAGGGACCACGCGACCACTATTAGTTGAGTACAAGAGCATTTCTCTATATATGTACTAAGAAAACTCCTTCCCC